AATCATTAAGAAAACAGGTTTAGAGCGCGGATGGAAGTTTGCCCTGGTGCTAAGTTTCACCACTGGAAGTTTCTGCTCTGTAAAAGGTCATTGAGAAAGCATCCGGGGTACTATGCTATGTCATCAAGTCACTGCCAACTCTACTACCCTTACAGCAAAAAGAAAAAAAACTTTAGAAATGCCGTTCTCTTTAGAAATGTGTCAAGAAACACTGTTATTTTGAAAGAGTCCCATTTTGTCAGTGTTAAGTCGCTTGAAGCAAAACAAAAGGTCGACAAACAGCGAGTGCCTTATTACTGCGATAAATATTGATTTTGTACTTGTGCGTTGCTAAAGGCTCTTTGTAAAGACAGATGCAATATCAATTGCAATGAGGCTTGGGGAAGTGAAGAACGTGAAGGGTTACCAGGCTGACTATTCTGGTCTGAGTATGTGATTGACAATGATTGATGAGTTTACCTTGGATTGCTGCCAGTGCCATAGTTTCCATCCAAAGGCATCTTTCTGTTGCGTCCACAAGTGGGTGTTCTTCCTGTCTCAAGAAGCACCTGTCCCAGTTTCAAAAGACAAGGTAATTTCTCTCTCCCTGAGGTCCGAGCCAACAATCCCCCAGAGAAAAACCTGCAATTCACTTCATGGCGGTTTGCGGGATACAGTTGTGTGCGAATCATTTGCCTACAAAATGCACTCACTGTATTTTAATGTAAATTCCTGTGAAGTGTTTTGAAATGTTGTGATGACCTGATGAGGCTCTATATCAAATGCAAGGATTATTATTTATTATTGTCGCTAACTGGAGGGTGTCTGTCTTCAGGCGTCTGCCGCAGAGCTGGACACCATTTGTCTCCATGGCAATCCAAGAGTCAGCCCAGCTGTGCCAGACCAATAGGTATAATAATAATCCTTGCATATCATATAGCGCCCTATCACGACTTTGAGACGTCCCAAAGCTCTTCACATAACATGCTGTAAAGTGAATTACTTACTGCCGGGTAAACAGAGACGTGTGGAGTGAGGAAACTTGCCCAATGTTTCGCCCTGCCCGGGAATCGAACCCAGGTCCTCTCACTTGCGAAGCGAGGGCTCTAACCACTGAGCAACAGGACTCCTGAGCCATCGTCCCCAACTAACATTAAAGTCACACATTCTGACTTGAGAACCAACTATTGAGAGGGTGAAATTGAGCCTAAGTGCTAGTTTCCTGGTGACAATGAGGGAGGGCAGTGTAAACAGGGCAAATCCATAGTTGCCAAGCACTGTCGAGCCACTATTTGCAGCAACTCTGCAGTACAGTCGCGGAAAGAAAAAAAAACACATAAACAGCATGGCCAGTTTCCTCTTAGTGAGTCACTAAATCCATCACCTCTTCCGAGACTGCTACCTAATTGCAGTAATTTAGCAAGGAAACACGACAGGATGGATTATTCAGTAACTGGGAAAGACAGTGCTGAAATCTCAGTAGTAAAGCAGGTGACAGGTTAGTCGACTCAAATCAGGCATCACAGTGTGCAAGAAGTTGCCTAATGATGATGGAATGGGTTCATGTGAACGGAGTTCTGAGCCACACAGCAACGTGTTTCACTTCAGACAATGTGAGCTCTCATTGTTAGATATCGTGTTCGCTGAAGTTTTGATACCAATAATAATCCTAACATTTGATACAGTGCCTTATCACGTCTTCGAGACGTCTCAAAGCGCTTCATAGGATGCACTGTAAAAGGGAATTGACCGTATATTTTGTGGGCGAAACGCGGCAGCCGATTGCACACGGCAGCGTCCCACAAACAGTCGTGGATTTCTCTTTTGAGGGATTATTACCGCCGGAAAGCGATCCGCCAATCGACTGACAAGCGGGTTCCTACTTACTGCTGGGTAAACGGAGGCGTGTGGAGTAAGGAAACTCGCTTAAGGTTTCTCCGTACCCGGGAATCGAGTCCATAAAATCGTTCATCTGTTTCCAAGTTTTTCTCCTCCCGTTTTTTGAACGCCAGTTGTAAAAAGCACAGAACATGTGAAAGAGGAGAACGCGGGGCCAGGCTGTACAGGAAATCATCTGGCAAAAGCAGGCAAGGTGGTAGCTATATAATTATCAGCACATAAAATACAAATTAATTAAAAATAAAGTTTTACACTTCAATTCTGTTCATCTTTTTCCACCCCCGCCCACCCCATCTTCCATTTAAAATGTCACTTGTTTCAACCAAATCAATAGTTATAATGAATATTTATTTTATTATTTTTATTATAATCCTTGCATTTGATATCGTGCCTTTCATGTCTGGAGGAATATGAGCTCAAATTGCAGGCTATAATGTTTTATTCACTTACAGAGAACACCTTCTCGAGCAGAATTTCAGAAAAACGCTGGCAGCAACTCATGAGCAGATCTTGGAATATTATTAATAATTATTATTAAGTATTAATTAATATTAATAATCCCTCCATTTGACCCTCAGCACATTGTCGAGATGTCTCAAAGCTCTCACAGAATATACTGTAAAGTAGATCGACTGTATAGTTTGTGGGCAAAACATGGCATCCAATTGCGCACAGCAGTGTCCCTCAAACAGTCGCAAATTGAGTGACCAAATTCTTCTTATTTTTTGTTTGTTTTTGAAGGGATTATTACCAATTATTACCGGAAAGGTGATCCGCCAACCGACTAACAACCGGGTTCCTACTTACTGCTGGGTAAACAGAGGCGTGTGGAGTAAGGAAACTTGCCCAACATTTCGCCCTGCCCGGGAATTAAACCTGGGTCCACTCGCTTGCGAGGCGAGTGCTCCAACCACTGAGCTACAGTGGCTCTTCGCTAAACCAAATGCAAGTATTATTAATAATAAATAAATAATAATAAAGTGCGTGCGGGACCTGAATGGGAAAGATGATCTGACCACTCCCTGGTTTAAAATAAAGCGCATCAGAGAGTCTTTCATTGAATTAAATTGGCCTTGTTCCCTATTTATGAATAATCGTGTTTGATCTTCATACAGATTAAACGCTGTGCGGGAAGTGAAATTATTAATCACATCAACAGAATAAAAAGAAGATCTTAAACCTTTCGCGTAATTTTAAAGGACCACCGTCATCGGGGAATTCGGGCTCGCAAGGCATAAATTCCTGATTGTAAAAACAAACCCACCTGCCCAGTAGTGTTTAACACAGGGGTAGAGTGTTGAGTTAGCCAGAATCTTTTCAATAGCACCATTTATAATTTTTTTAAAAAAAAAATAAAATCCTCAACAGAGCGCTCTTCACACAGAGTGCAGGCTGAAGCAAGAGAAATAGCGTTTACTTTAAAAAGGGGAAGGCCGGCTAGATCTGCTGTCATGTGAGGCGTCACTGGAGGCAAACCTCTCTGGGCTGTTCCAAGCTAACACCATAAATCGCTCGTCTCCCGACAGGGAAGGCTTTTAATCCATCACGTTTAGGGGAGAAGTGAAAGAAAAATGTACGTGCGTCTTACTTCCCTCCCCCCTTCGCCTCCCCTCCCTCCCTCCCTCCAGAGTTGAATCCATTCTCAATACGCCGTAAAGCAAATACTATTTTTCTTTCTTTATAAATAAGAGCCTCGCATTCTTTCCTGGCTACTCAGTTTGCAACCAAAAATGGCGGACGTGAATGCGGAGGTTGGGTGGAGGCCTCTTTTAGGAGTATCTGGTGTAAGATTGACAAGGCCCCCGTTTCTCCCCGAGGTTGGGAAGTTGGACGGGTGCCATCAGGGGTCACGGTGAAGGCTGCCTGGAGATGTCACCTATAATGAAGCGGATTCTTATTTTACAACCAGTCCCCTCCACAGGCCCTCCATGGGGCCACTTGTTTTTTTTTTTGCAGCAGCATCTTAATACAGTCCAGGTGCTCAGGCCAAGTGAGGTGAGCGTGTCTGATGAAAACAGCGCTTAAAAAATAAAATAAAACGTGCAGCAGGAACGACGTTATAGTTTGGTGCTCCTTCCATTCACGTCACCAAAACCGTCACACTTTATCCGAGTTTTTTCTTGAATTGTTAAACTCAGTTTAACCAGATTAATAAAATAATAATAATAATGTCGCTCAATCCACGACTGTCTGTGGGACACTGCTGTGCTCAATGGGCTCCCGTGTTTCGCCCACAAAATATACAAATTAGTATTATTATTAATGAGACACAGAGAGAACGCCATTATGCCTTAACGTTTTGCAGGTTTTCATGACCAGTTTCCATGCAGTTTGCAGTGAAGGGGCGGGGAGGGAGCGGGGAGAGAGGGGGGGTACAGGGGTGGGGGAGGAAGTATAGAGGACATAATAGTCCTTCCCGTCAGATTTTGAGCTCACTAAGCTTTAAAGCAAACAAAAAGTGCTCAGCTCAGGACCCTGAACAAACACTAGCTTTGCTTCAGAATGAATCCAATTGTCTTTAAACATTATCGAGAAGTCACAGATTTGGCCTGACATTCTGGTCAGTGTCGGCAATTACAATGGGGAGTGGTGGGAGGGGGATGGAGGGAAACCTGAGAAAAGGAGCTATGGGCAATGAGTTGAGAGCTGGTCTGTTTAGTTGTTCCAATTCCTGTAAGTGCATATAATTGAAAGAGCACACAACACGCGGAAGGAAGGATGTCCTTGTGACATTCTCCTCAGGGCTGGGTTGGGCTGGCGGAGGAGCTGAAAAGATGAGACATTTCATAATTACGTTAAATATGTTGTAAAATGTCACATTTTCCACTTCTTTGAGTGCATTTTGAAATCTACAAGAAGGAAACAAATACATTGGGCTCTACTGGGAAAGGGATGGGGGAGGGGACAATCAGGCATCAAACTTGGTAGCATTTGCATTTGACTGTCGTCTTAGTGATAGCTTTCCCGGCCTCAGCTGGCACCTTCAGGAGGGAGATGGAGGGCGAAGGAACATTGACACACAGGGATAGACAAGGAAGGGAAAGAGTCAAGGCTATGGCCTAATGGTTCTGTAATATTTGTGGGAACTTGCCAGTGACTCAATCAAGAGACTCCGTGGTTGATAGTTCTCACTTTGAGATAATCCATTAAGTTCCACTTCCCATTCCTCTTTATAATATGACCAAGGTGCCACCTTATCTACAAGTAAATGGGGGAAAACAACATATGGTCCATAAAGAGCTAGGAACAGGAGTAGACCATTGAATGGTTCTACCATTTCATTACACCATAGCGGATCTTAAAATCCCAATTCTCCTTTTATTTTTATAAAACTACCCTTCCCTTTATTCCCAAGTGTCTCCCTTTTAAAACATTCTGAATGGTTCTGCACTTGGGTAAATATTGTACTCTCCCAGGAAACAAGTGAAATATGGCAATACAGGATTTGGCCAATGTCAACATGTCTTTTGATGACCTTTTCATTGCTCAAAAAAGGGTAAATGATGCTTTAACCTTAAAGGGAGGGGATCAGTGTCTGAGGGCCTGCAAGAACTTGCCTGATGAGAGAATGTCTGTCTGCCTTGTTTCAGTGCCAAAAGTTGAGAAGACAATAATCAGCTTCGCACTTTACTATTTTGATTGACTGAAATTGCTCTCGTCTCCAAAAAACAGAGGGTAAGAGCCAGAAGAGAAGAGAAAGGTTTTGCTTCGAAAGAAAGCCGTTTAAAGAGAAAGAAGCCCAGGATAGCCGGATCAGATCATACAGGGGAAAATGAGGCAAAGTTAAAGTAAATACAAAGCGCGTGGTTGTAAATATAAAAAAATGTAGAGTTCATTGCTGTTTTCTCTCATGTTGATTAATGGTTAATCCAAGACAATACAAATGTGTTCACAAGACACTGAAATTGTTACTCTGTCCCGCCCTTGTAGGGATGAATTTTCCCACTCAGTTCCAATCTTCGAGACGTCTCAAAGCGCTTTAATAGGCAAAACAGACAAAAATGTGAGGTGCAATTTTTTTTAAAAAAGTGAGAAAGTTCAAGTCATTCAATTAGAACAAGTATCATTTCTTGACTTCCAAGAATTTTATTCATTTGATGCACACGTGCTTTTTTTTTTTTTTTGCCCTCCACTGGTTTTCTTGCTAAAAATTGACATAGATTGTGGACTTAAAAGAAACTGACAGTTCTATGGCAACTTCTGTTTAATAAATACAAAAATCATAACCCAGTAATTCACACAGTGGGGGGGTGGTGGGTGGAGAGTGGCTGACTGTCAAAAGTTTCAAGAGAAAGAGAAAAGGTGTCAACCGCAGTTTCCCAGATGTGGTGAAATGTTGCTTGAAAGTGTGTCCAGCCCTCAACCTCAAACATTCACAGACAAGTAACTATAATAGCTGTTTTAGAATAGAGTAAGGCAAGCATTGCGAAAGGTGGCGTTGAGTGAGGAAGGAACAGAGTAGTGATTGACAGCTGTTGGCATGATCAGCCATACTACCTCAACCTGTTCTTTAAGCAGTTGTTCATGTGTGACTTGGAAAGTAAAAGAAGCTTGGGATTCCAGTGGAACCCAGATAGGAATTAGACAGAGCGGTTTATCTGCATAAACATGCCATGAAAGCGCCAACAATACAGGATATTTGAACACCTGCGGTATTGAAAGCAGGTTATTGTAAGACAAAATAACAAAGGAGCAAAGGGTCTTAACTTTGCAGGTATGAGGGAAGAATTAGCTAAAATAGACTGGGGAATTAGATTAATCGATATGACAATAGACCAACGGTGGCAAACATTTAAAGATGTAGTGCAAAATTCTCAGCGGTCACATATTCCCTTGAGGAATAAGAGTACCACAGGGAAAGCAGTTCATCCGTGGCTAACTAGAGCAGTTAGAGAAAGTATAAAACTAAAAGAAAAGGTCTATAAAACTGCCAAAAAGAGTAGCAAACCTGAGGACTGGGAGTGTTTTAGGGACCAACAAAGGAAAACCAAAAAGCTCATTAAGAGTGAGAAAATGGATTATGAGGGCAAGCTCACTAGGAACATTAAGGCAGACTGTAAGAGTTTTTATAAATACATTAAGAGGAATAGGCTAGCAAAAGGAAATGTGGGTCCATTACAGGCAGAGGCAGGAGGAATTATAATGGGGGATAAGGATATGACAGAGTCCCTACATAAATACTTTGCTTCTGTCTTCACATTACCAGAAACACAGATGAACCACGGGGCTAATGATAGGGAGCAACTTAGGGAAATTTACATTAGCAAAGAATTGGTGCTAAGGAAATTATTGGCATTAAAAAGTGACAAGTCCCCTGGACCTGATGGTCTGCATCCTAGGGTTTTAAAAGAGGTAGCTCATGAGATAGTGGAGGCCTTGTGTCTGATCTTCCAAAATTCTTTGGATTCTGGAACAGTTCCCATTGATTGGAAGATCGCAAATGTCACACCACTATTTAAGAAGGGTGGGAGAGAAAAGATGGAGACTATAGACCAATTAGTCTGACATCGGTGGTAGAGAAAATTCTAGAATCCTTAATTACGGATGTCGTAGTGGGATACTTAGAGGATTACAATATGATTAGACAAAGTCAACATGGCTTTACAAAAGGGAAGTCATGCTTAACAAATCTTTTAGATTTTTTTGAGGATATATCAAGTAGATTAGATAGTGGATGTAGTGTATTTAGATTTCCAAAAGGCATTCGACAAGGTGCCGCATAAAAGGTTGATCCACAAGATTAGGGCCCATGGAATTAAGGGGAATATATTAGCATGGATTGAAGAATGGCTAACGGGAAGAAAACAAAGAGTAGGGATAAACGGGTCCTTCTCAGATTGGCGGGATGTGACTAGTGGAGTGCCACAAGGATCAGTCCTTGGGCCTCAACTATTTACAATCTACATCAACGATCTAGATGAGGACATCAAAATTAATATATCCAAATTCGCAGATGACACTAAACTGGGAGGGAGAGTAAACACCGAGGATGACATTAAAAAAATGCAACGAGATATAAATAGGCTCAGTGAGTGGGCAAATAGGTGGCAAATGAAGTATAATGTAGGGAAGTGTGAGGTCATCCACCCAGGTGGCAAAAACAGTAGAGCAGATTATTTTTTAGAAGGGGAGAGACTAGATAGTGTTAGCGTTCAGAGGGACTTGGGTGTCCTTGTACACCAGTCACAAAAAGTTAGTTTGCAGGTACAGTAAGCAATTAGGAAGACTAACGGTATGTTGACATTTGTTACAAAAGGGTTAGAATATAAGAGTAGGGAAGTCTTGCTGCAACTGTATAGGGCGCTGGTGATACCGCACCTGGAGTATTGTGTGCAGTTTTGGTCTCCTTATTTAGGAAAGGATGTACTCTCCTTGGAGGGGGTACAACGTAGATTCACTGGGTTGGTACCAGGGATGAGGGGGATGAGCTATGAGGATAGGTTGAGCAATTTAGGCCTATATTCTCTAGAATATAGAAGAATGAGAGGTGACCTTATAGAAACCTATAATAAGGTTATAAAGGGGCACGACAGAATAGATAGTGGGAGACTTTTTCCCCTGGTTGGAGAAACTATAACCAGGGGTCACAGTCTTAAAATTAGAGGTAAACCCTTTCGCACTGAGTTGAGAAAAAACTTCTTCACTCAGAGGGTAGTGAATTTATGGAATTCTACCCCAAAGGGCTGTAGTCCTTGAACATATTCCAGACTGAGATTGATAGATTTCTTGTGGATAAAGGGATTAAGGGATATGGGGATAAGGCGGGTAGGTGGAGTTAGAATAGATCAGCCATGATCTTATTGAATGGCGGGGCAGGCTCGAGGGGCCGAATGGCCTCCTACTGCTCCTAATTCTTATGAACAATTAGATGTTTTAGCAACTTGGTGTCTAGGAATCATTCTTGCAGTCTGACTATAGAAACCTTTCCATCTGTTAGCCATGAAACCTCACTGTACTGTGATCCTCAAGTTAAAGAATCCAACCTCAAAGTACATCGACACTTTACTGGTTCAACTCATGTGTCTTATGAAGCAGGGTCTCAGCCGATGAAAGGTTGACACTCAATGATACTGCTCGGGGCGCGGGGAAACGTTGGAAATGGGAAAAATGGGATGAGACGTTAAACCGAGATCCTACGTGCCTGTTTAGAGGAATGTTAAAAGTTCCCATGGCACGATTGAAAAGACAGAGAGAAAGTTTCTCCTGGTGCTCAGGCCAACAATCTCCCAAATTAAAATAGGAGATTCACTTCATGATTGTTTGCTGTGTGCAAATTGGCTGTCGTATTAACCTACAAAATAGGCACAACACTTCTTGGTAAGTTCTACGAAGTGCTTTGAGATGTCTTCCTGACATGAAAGACCCAGTGTTTTTATTATGGTAGTTCTCACCATTTGAAGGTAATAGATTTTATTTTAACAAGCTTTCTGCTACTTTTCGATACATAGCAAGACCCATGTCTTATCACATCAAAGTCTTTCAACTTGCTTTTTCTGTAGTGACTGTATTTGTAGGCAAATATGTGATTGCCCACAGCAATGCCCCACAGACAAATAGCCAGGAAGTGAAGGATCTTTGCTTTTTAATCCTCACAATTGTTGACCAGGACCACTGGGAGAAACTTCCTTTTCGTTTCAAAGCGCTTTAAGACGTCTCGAAGACGTGATAAAGTGCTTTATCAAATGCAAGGATTATTATCGTTTTTATTATTATTGTTAAATAGTACCATGGGATCTTTAACAGCCAGACAGACGGGACCTCAGTTTAAATCTCATCCAAAGGACAGCATCCCTCAAGAATGCAACACTTTGCTGGAGTGTCAGCCTAGATTATGAAGCTTAAGACTGTACAAGTTCCATGTACCAACAAGGTGCTTGAACCCACAACCTTCTGACTCCGAGGCGAGAGTTTTTTTTCCCCCCAATTGAGCAAGGTCAACACCTGAAGCAAATTGGATTCCGAGCAGAAATCCTGTGACAGATTTCCGGTTTGCAGAAGGAGTCTATTTGCACAACTCAGGTTCCTTATTAAGGGATCCTGTTACGAAACAACACAAATTAGACGCAGTAACACAAAGATAGATAAATATAATAATAATAATCCTTGCATTTGATACAGCGCTTTATCATATCTTTGAGACGTCTCAAAGCGCTTCACAGAATATACTGTAAAGTGAATTGACTGTATATTTTGTGGCT